TCAGAAAGAATCTTTTCTATTTTTTAACAGAGGAGAGCTGCCAGAAAATATATAACTATAGTGAAGTCTCACTCTTTATTGCAAGCATTTCTTTGCCAGATTTTGGAAAAAGTCGTAAGTGCTCATTGTCCTCTATGAAAGAAGATAAAGACAAGAATGGGATTTTGGCATGAGTCAAAAATAGCATTAAGCATCTTGATTGGTGTTGTATCTTACCATTGCTGACATGATGAATTCTAAACACAATTTGTGGCTCATGTGGTAATAATATATATACATATTATATTATATATATTGTATATAATGTATATTATATATATAACAAATGAAAATGTAATGTGTCTTTAGTTAAAACAATGGAAGTTGAGATGTCTGAAAGAAAGCATAAGATTATCAAATGCTGTTTCTCATTAACCTGGAGAGTAAATGTATAAAGGAAGAAGCAAATAATTTTTTTAAATAGCTCAAAAAATCTTTTTATTGCCTTGTATTTCTGATAATTTCCAAGACATTGTGCACTTGAGATTCAATGCAAATGTTATTTTCAGTTAAAAATTAGTCTCTATCACATACTAGTTCTTTCTCATTAACTTGCCATCCTGTAGACAACCAGTCCCTAGTTATTTTTGTGCTGTTCATTGTGCACTAGACTACAATTTATAACTCACATTTTGATTACTTATTACACATTTCTGCTTACTTGAGTTTTTACCAGCTTCAAACTACTTTTTGTAAGTGAAAATTAAGTTGAAAACTCCAGTTATAAAATTAAAACTTAAGTTCCACATTTTTTCACGAATTATTTTAAATAGTTTAAAATGTATTTTTGTGAATCTGTTAGGAAAGTTAAAATAATTTATTGCTACATGCAAAGGTTACTAACACTGAAGTCCACAGAGCTTCATCCATTTCCCATTAGTACACAAAGAGTGTTAAAGCTCTGAAAATTATGGACACACGCCAACATTAAGTTTGGGAAAGATTGGCTTGGGAGAGAAAAGCAAATAAGAAGAATAGGAATATTCCAGAGTTAAAATTTGAAATGGCCACTTCCCTGTTTGCATTGTCTTTACAAATATTCCAAACAGTTACAGACTTTTCTTAAGAATGCAATGAATGTTATCATGAAAAATTGTGAATAACTGTTAGTTCATTAATAGAGTGGTAAAGGGATGCTTTCAAATGATCAATAAAAGGGTGTTGAAGAGTTTTCAAGAATAGAGACCTTCAAATATTGGCTTTGGAATCCAGACCAGGATGGTGACATCATGGATACTAGGAAGTTACAAAAAATAAAGAGTTCTCAGACTTATTATAAAACATTTTAATTAAGGAAGTCTCAGTGGGCCCCATGGATCTATAATTTAAAAATGTATCCAGGTTACTCTGATCTTTAGAATACTAACCTTGAGAGATGTTAAAACTTTTTTAAAACCATATGGTTGTGCAGATACTTTGCATAATTTTTTCTTAACTTATTTCACCATAAACTTCCTTCTCCAAGCATCTTAAACAATTGTTATTTTATGGGGCGCCTGGGTGGCTCAGTCGTTAAGCGTCTGCTTTCGGCTCAGGTCATGATCCCCGGGTCCTGGGATCAAGTCCTGTATCGGGCTCCCTGCTTGGCGGGAAGCCGGCTTCTCCCTCTCCCACTCTCCCTGCTTGTGTTCCCTCTCTCGCTGTCTCTCTCTCTCTGTTAAAAAATAAACAAAAAATCTTAAAAAAAAAAAAGAATTGTTATTTTATGGATACATTTTGAGAAATGCTTTTCATGGAATTAAAACCATTTGCTGTGGCTATGGAGATTTGGTGGAAAATTGGGTAGTTATAAACAGGTTTTTTTTTTTTTAATTTTATTATGTTATGTTAGTCACCATACAATACATCATTAGTTTTTGATGTAGTGATCCACGATCCATTGTTTTCATATAACACCCAGTGCTCCATGCAGTACGTGCCCTCCTTAATACCCATCACCAGGCTAACCAATCCCCCCTCCCCCCTCCCCTCTAAAACTCTGTTTGTTTCTCAGGTCCATAGTCTCTCATGGTTCATCTCTCCCTCCAATCCCCCCCCCATTTTTCCCTTCCTTCTCCTAATGTCCTCCATGTTATTCCTTATGTTCCACAAATAAGTGAAACCATATGATAATTGACTTTCTCTGCTTGACTTATTTCACTTAGCATAATCTCTTCCAGTCCCATCCATGTTGATGTAAAAGTTGGGTATTCATCTTTTCTGATGGCTGAGTAATATTCCATTGTATATATGGACCACATCTTTATCCATTCTTCTGTTGAAAGGCATCTTGGCTCTTTCCACAGTTTGGCTATTGTGGACATTGCTGCTATGAACATTGGGGTGCATATGGCCCTTCTTTTCACTACATCTGTGTCTTTGGGATAAATACCCAGTAGTGCAATTGCTGGGTCATAGGGTAGCTCTATTTTTAAATTTTTGAGGAACCTCCACACTGTTTTCCAAAGTGGCTGTACCAACTTGCATTCCCACCAACAGTGTAAGAGGGTTCCCCTTTCTCCACAACCTCGCCAACATTTGTTGTTTCTTGCCCTGTCCATTTTTGCCATTCTAACTGGTGTAAGGTGGTATCTCAATGTGGTTTTGATTTGGATTTCCCTGATGGCTAATGATGATGAACAGTTTTTCATGTGTCTGTTAGCCATTTGTATGTCTTCTTCAGCGAAGTGTCTTTTCATATCTTCTGCCCACTTTTTGACTTGATTATTTGTTTTTTGGGTGTTGAGTTTGAGAAGTTCCTTATAGATTTTGGATACCAGCCCTTTATCTGTAGTGTCATTTGCAAATATCTTCTCCCATTCTGTGGGTTGCCTCTTTGTTTTGTTGACTGTTTCCTTTGTTGTGCAGAAGCTTTTTATCTTGATGAAGTCCCAAAAGTTCATTTTTGCTTTTGTTTCACTAGCTTTTGGAGATGTATCTTGAAAGAAGTTGCTGTGGCCGATGTCAAAGAGGTTACTGCCTATGTTCTCCTCTAGGATTTTGATGGATTCCTGTCTCACATTGAGGTCTTTCATCCACTTTGAGTTTATCTTTGTGAATGGTGTTAGAGAATGGTCGAGTTTCATTCTTCTGCATGTGGCTGTCCAATTTTCCCAGCACCATTTATTGAAGAGACTCTCTTTTCCATTGCATGTTTTTTCCTGCTTTGTCAAAGATTAGTTGACCATACAGTTGAGGGTCCATATCTGCGTTCTCTATTCTGTTCCATTGGTCTTTTATGTCTGTTTTTGTGCCAGTACCATGCTGTCTTGGTGATCACAGCTTTGTAATATAGCTTGAAATTGGGCAACGTGATGCCCCCAGCCTTGTTTTTCTTTTTCAACATTTCCTTGGCGATTTGAGGTCTTTTCTGATTCCATACAAATTTTAGGATTGTTTGTTCCAGCACTTTGAAAAATGTCATTGGGATTTTGATTGGGATGGCATTGAAGGTATAGATTGCTCTGGGTAGCATAGACATTTTAACAATGTTTATTCTTCCGATCCATGAGCATGGAATATTTTCCATCTTTTTGTGTCTTCTTCAATTTCTTTCATGAGTATTTTGTCAGTCCTAGAGTATAGATCCTTTACCTCTTTGGTTAGGTTTATTCCAAGGTATCTTATGGTTTTTGGTGCTATTGTAAATGGAATCGTTTCTCTAATAAACAGGTTTAAATATAATAGAGATTTGGGAGTGCATGTATGGATACTATTCTCAACATAGTCTAAGGAAAAGAGACCCAGGCAGAACATGAGCAATTAGAGAGAATGTGAAATCAAATAAAGACCAGAATGTGATGTTGTCTGTGAGGCTGACAAAATTACAATCTGGGCTTAAAACTAGAATTGGTCATCCCTTCTTAGAAGCAATCTCAAGAGACAATCAATTGAAAGATCCCTCACCTTTGTTAATAGGCTCTGTTGGGATGAGTGGGAATCTGTCCCTGTCTCCAGGGGCAATTGAATCCCAAGTGCAAAGAACAGTATTGTCAAAGCACTGTTGGTATCAAAAAGGAAGGAGCGTCAGTCATTGCCACTTTGTTTGTTTACAAAGTGCTTCAACTAAGACCCAATGTCCAATAACATAAAAATTGCTAAAACTTTTGTGAAGATAATATTACCATGAGGAAGTAAGGAGAGGACATTGTAGAGCTACATGCTAGAAATAGAGTAGTGGTCAAGTTGTTCCAGGAGCTTTCTGAATGAGATGGTCCTTGTTTTCCCTTCCTTTTTCTTTCCTTTGCTTTATTCCTCCTCTCCTCTTCTCTCTTGTCCCTTATTTTCTTTCCCTTTTTACCCCTTTTAGGTCTTCCTTATGTGCCAGGAATATCTCTGGAGTGACCAGGAGAAAATCCATAGGTTGCTCCCTAAAGGAAAGAATTCCTTGACAATGTCTAACTCCTTCTGCTGTGATTGTTTATTCTCTAAACACTGCTGACCTGACATTTGTTCTTCCAGCTGAGACTTCCACTATGCACACTTCCTCTGCATTTTCACAATATCTGCTGAAACCTCTGTCTTTCTATTTACAAATCTGAATTATGATTACAGTATACAAGTGTCCCACTAAGTAGATTTTTAATGCCTTTAAAACAGGGATTACATTCCTTCATATTGTATACTCAATAGTGTTCGGTACATTATATGTACCTGGAAATTATAATCGATCTGAACCTGGATAAATAAAATAACTAAAAGAGAGAATTTTATGAAAACAGTTCATCCAGATTCTTAGACCAGTAATATTTGCCCACAATCAGTTGTCAATCACTTAGTGCATGCCTGATAATGGTTTACTGGGTGGATATACCAGTGTTTCTTAGAGTCTCAGGCTACTGAATAAGGAGATGACCTCCTAGAGTTTTAGCAGCCTTAAGAGTAACCTAATTCAGGTCAAAAGTAAATTCCACAGAACAAGACTGGTTGAAAAGCGAGATGGCTTTATATATATATAGTTTAAAACCATGAATTAGGGAGTCGAGACCAGAGGCCAAACTCGGGATCTGACAAGATGGCTGGGCTGCCCCACAGGATTATCAAGGAAACCCAGCGTTTGCTGACAGAACCAGTTCCTGGCATTAAAGCAGAACCAGATGAGAACAACACCCGTTATTTTCATGTGGTCATTGCTGGCCCCCAGGATTCTCCCTTTGAGGGAGGGACTTTTAAGCTTGAACTATTCCTACCAGAAGAATACCCGATGGCAGCCCCTAAAGTATATTTCATGACCAAAATTTATCATCCTAATGTAGACAAGTTGGGAAGAATATGTTTAGATATTTTGAAAGATAAGTGGTCCCCAGCACTGCAGATCCGCACAGTTCTGCTATCGATCCAGGCTTTGTTAAGTGCTCCCAATCCAGATGATACAGTAGCAAATGATGACGAATGAAGCCCAAGCCATAGAAACAGCTAGAGCATGGACTAGGTTATATGCCATGAATAATATTTAAAATCGATCTGATCATCAAGTGTGCATCACTTTTCCTGTTCTGCCAAGACCTCTTCCTTTTTTGTTTGCATTTAATGGACACCGTCTTAGAAACATTACAGAATAAAAGCCCAGACATCTTCAGTCCTTTGGTGATTAAATGCACATTAGCAAATCTATGTCTTGTCCTGATTCACTGTCGTAAAGCATGAGCAGAGGCTAGAAGTACCATCTGGATTGTTGTGAAACATTTAAAAGCAGTGGCCCTTCTCTGCTTTTATTCATTTCCCCCATCATGGTTTGAGTATAAAGCACTGTGAATGAAGGTAGTTGTCAGGGTTAGCTGCAAGGGTGTGGGTGTTTTTCTTTATTACATTTTTTGAGGGAGAGAGGTAGTTTTATTTTAATTTTATGGGCTCCTTTCCCCCTTTTTATGGTGATCTAATTGCATTGGTTAAAAGCAGCTAACCAGTTCTTTAGAATACGCTCTCTAGCCAAGTCTAAATTTATGTAGATGCTGTAGATGGACAAGCTTGATTGTTTGAACCAAAATGGGAACATTAAACAAACATCACAGCCCTCACTAATAACATTGTGACTTTGCTGTCAAGCGTAGAATCCTTCCTTCAAGAAAAAGCTTGTGACCATTTTGTATGGCTTGTCCGGAAACTTCTGTAAATCTTATGTTTTAGTAAAATATTTTTTGTTATCCTAAAATAAATAAATAAATAAATAAATAAATAAATAAATAAATAAACCACGAATTATTCTACTCCGGGTTATTTAAATCCTCATTTGAGTGTATCTGCCTCTACCTTAGGACCTCGTAACTAAACAAGATGTGGCCTAACCAGAAATCTAGAGGAAATCAACTGAGTCAATTTAATGCAATAAATATTTATTGGTTATCTATTATGTACAAGGAATATAGGTGAATGATTGAAAGACTAAGAATAAGGGAAAAGATAAAGAAACCTGGGTCACTTTACATGAAGCCAAATCGACCTCAGGGTTTGGGAACTGAGGTAACAGATTTCAGGTCCCTGACAAAATGTCATTTGTAAAACAAAACATGCACATTTCCACCAAGACAAATAAAAAGGATATAAACACAATGAGCATTTTTAGCAGGAAGGGTTTTAGCTTAGAATCAACCTTCCAAGAGTGCTTTACCAAATAGGGCTAGGATGGCTATTTCTTGGGAGATGCTTTTAAGGTTAAGGTAACTTCTTAGTTTCAATTTTTTTAATAAGTAAAAAGGCAAGATCCCTAGAGCTCCCTTCTGGCTATGTAGTTCCAGGATATTTTAGTTCCTTTTTATGCCTCTCCTCTAGTGACCTTAATTCCTTTTATCAATTTAAAGTTTAAACCATTTACAAGGAAAATGTATTTATTTACGAGGATGAGAAATTGCAAACTTTTCCAGGCAAATTTGTTTTAGAGAAAATTCCCTATTTTAAGTAACCTCATGAGTTTCTTAAGGGTAGACACAACCATTAAAAGATGCAGTTAACACAGGGTTTAACTTTGAAGGGGATGATATGAAATACAAAACAGACTTCCCTTTTATAGTGTGTACAAGCATTGTCTTTCTTTAAAAAGAGACGATGGAGATGATGCATAAGCTTCAGAAGCAAAAATAGTTCAAATAAACTTCTCAAGTGTGACCACTGAACTCTGATTAAAACCTCTGACCAATTTTATACTTAGATATGCACAATTAGAGCATCTTAAACAGCCAAAACTGAGAATGGCTGTCAATGGCATGGCTTTGGTTCTTTCCCATTTCTGTTGAGGGTTTCTATTGCATTTGATATTCTCTGATGCAACCAGCTGTTTCTGGAAAATTTGCACATGCCATGCCGGCTAAATTTACATTCACAGACTCTTTCCTACCTCTGCCACACATGCTTCTGATGATGCCCCAAACCACACTGCACTCATGCTGTGTCTGATGATATTATGTACTTATCAATAGCTGTATTTGCAAGTTGTGGCCACCTAGTCTGTGGAGTGGACACAGTAGCTCCCAGAGCAGTAGAAAGAGGAAAATTTGAGGAACCATTGCTATTTTCCATCAAGCAAGTTCAATAAACACAAGACAAGGCCATTCAATTGAATTTGACAACTTTCCATGTAATATATTAGGTCCAAATTGTTAATTTTATCATATTTCTATAATTTACACAGGTTTTTCCACATATTTCCAATATAATATATATAATTCAATATATTATATATGTAATATATAATATGTATAAATATATAATATAATCCAATAATATAGTCTAGTAATCCTCAAACAACCCAGTAAGTAAAATGGAGCAGGGTATCATTGCATTAAAACTTCTGGTCTTCCTCCTGAACAAAGATTCTGTGGATACTGGGTTTCTGTTTATGCCTTTCTTATTTGATCTTTTGTTCACAAACATAGCTGTGCAACCAAATCTTACACAAACACTCACTTATGTACACACATTCCCACACAGAAATTGTCAACATCCATCTTCAGGAACTATGATGTATTATGTCTGGGGCAAGGCAATGATTCTGACATTTTGCCAACTTTAGGATATACTTTCCCTGGTCCATGTTTCTGAACTCTACTTGCACATTAGAATTACCTGTGGAACTTCAAAATTATGAGTATGTTCTGGCCTCAGGGTAAAAGGAAACAAATTATGGTCAGTGGGGTGGGGAAAGAGCCTGAGTAATTTTTTTAAGTGCTACAGATGATTCCAGAGTACAGGCAAGTTTCAGGATCAGTGGCTCTGAGGGGCACCTTTCAAACTTGAAAGTGTGGGAAGCACTTGGGAATCTTGTTAACATGCAAATTCTGACTCAGTAAGTCTGGGGCAGGGCCGGAGATTCTGTAATTCTGTATTTCTACATTTCTAATCAGTTTTCCAATGATGCTGGAAGACCACACTTTGAGTAGTTTCACATACAAAAGAAATGACCACCAGTTTCAGTTGCTCAGAAGGGTTAACTGCAAACCTTACCACAGAAAAGGCCATTCACTTTAAGGCTTAGGCTCCAGTAGTATGTCCTGCCATTGAGCCACAGTGAGTCTTTATTATCCTTATTGGAACTGTCACACTTCAAGACATCAAATCCTTCTTTGTTCAATGAGCTTCTGTTTCACCCTACTGGCAAATTTCTAATTGTTTTTCCAGCTGTGCTCAGGTAAGTTGCGTCACCTGCTCTTGTTTTCAGGGACCCTTGAACCTTCTACTTCCTTGTGAACAACTTAAACACAGGGACTGGGCCTGGATCACCTTTGTATTCCTAACACCTTTTATATTACCTACTAGATAATAACTGTTCAATAAATGTGTGTTGAATGAATGAGCACAGCTCTTAGAATATGTAGCTGGTGTTCCGTCTCCCCCAAAATCTGTGAGCTCTTTGAAAGCAAGGCTTACATCTTTTCACATTTATAGATCCAGTGCCTGGTACAGGGTAGGCAATTAATGCATATATGACATATATAATGAAAGAATTAATGCCTTGTATTTACAAAGAATATCACTGTGTTACAGAATGATGCAATGATTAATGTTAAGATTCTTACGTTCTTTAGAGAATATTAACTTGTATTCATCATACTCTGGAGAAAAACACTGATATATGTATGCATATATATACACATATATCAGTCTGATTACTATCCTGAGATATTTTTCATTAACAAGAATTTGCAACATTTTCTAATTAAGAGAATCAATTCCCCTTATTCCTGCCCACCCACCCCCACTCATGTATTTGGATCAAAATCCTTCCCTGCCCACACCAGATATATGTACGAATTGTTGCCCTGATTGTATCTGATGTAAGCACTATGACAGTGCTTTGGAATAACTGTGACATTATTCCTTTTGATTCTTTTCCAAGCCTTCTGTGTAATCATTTGTGCAGACTGCTCTGAAACTGTTGGCTGTGCCAGTCAAATGTCAGCATAGGAAGTAAGGACACACATGAATCTCCTCAAGAGGCCTATTTACAGCTCTTGCAGATGATTATGCATTTTTTACTTTAAGAACACAGACTTTTCCATTTTCAAAGCTTTAGCGAATTAAAGAATTGGATCTGCATTGTTTCCTGACTTTGATAACAGAAGAGTATCCGTCCCTTCTCTTCTTAACTCATTTGTAGGAGATTTCATTAGGAGGAAGACTCTGTGGTAAGCTGATTCAGGACAAACTGCACCACTGGTTGGGCAGACTTGTTGAGAGTATGGGTGATGGAGTTAAAAATAGGTGTTTTCAAACCTGCTTTTGCCACGTACAGATAGTATAACATTGGACAAGTCACAGACTTTCTCTGTACTTCTCTTTTCTCATCCGCAAAATGGACATAAAAATAATATTCACTTCATAGCATTCTGAGGTTTAGAATTAATTCATGCTTAACACAGTGACTGGCATGTTGTTCCATGTCTATTATTATTGTTTGGTTTAATTGTTCTTATTCTTTGACTTCTGAAATCTTCAAGGTTTACATGGTAGAAGCCAGCACACATGTTATCAAGCAATTAATTAACCAGTGTATTAATGTTGATCATATGTTTTGATTGATTTCAGGAAAGAGAAAATCACATTCAGGAAAAATGACCTAATTTGTGATTCAGTTGATGCCAAATGACTGGATTGACTCTATTATTTTTCCCCCAGCAAGTTAATTAGACTTTGGATACTATAGGTTAGTTGTATGAGACAAGGTCAGGATGTAAGGAGAATATGACAGGAGAAATCAGTAATTAGGGGAGAGAACTTGGGATATTGCAGGGTTTGTTCTAGCACAATTGGAAAGTTAACCACATGTGTCTTGCAAATTGCATCTCTTATTGATAGGTCTTCCTGATCCTGGGGTACACTTATAAAGCTCATCCTGAAGCTTAGGGCTACACCTTTCTCCATCTTCTAATAATCCTTAATGTATATTTTCTCTAGCCTTTTTTT